CTGGTTGAAAGCTCTAGGTGAGAGCATTTTTTGTGTTGGCTCTAAAGTTTTAACTCTAAATATGACAGCATTAGTTAATTACATATAAATCTGTTTATGTACGTCAATGCAAAAATATTATATATTATATACATATAAATAGAATTCTGCAAATCGTCAACTTTCTGCAAGAAGTAGCCACTTCCACAGAAAGGCCTGGGGTAAACTGTATGTTAATGATTATATTATGCTATATAATAACTAACATAGTGTAATACACAGTTACACACACATACACAGACATTATAGTACGCAATGTTACATTGTAATTTGTATTGCAAGATTTGTGACAAAGTTACCTGAATCCACTCCTCCCATTTTCCTTTTTACTAATGCAAGAGGCAGTGAAAAAAGAGAGAGAAACAGACATAAGAAGACAACAGTCAGACTACGGACAGTTGGGACAATGGGACAATAGGAAGCAACAAGACACAACAGCAAGAGATACAACAGTGTACATTTGTACATGTACAAGGCAGCTATCACATGGACCGTACCATCAATCTTCAGGGGGATGTTGAGTGGAAAATTGTGAAATTTTCTGGCAGTCCTTGGGGTGAAAAACTATCAAACGCAAAGAAGCTGACTGGTCAAAAATCTAAATTTAGATTTTCAATCCCAACATCTGCTTGGCAATAACATACCATCCCCTGTGGTAGGCAAACTTCAAGATGCTTAAAAAAATTTAAATTTTACAACTCCTTTTTTGGAAATTCCAATGATAAAGTTCTAAATGTAACAAAATAGCTTTACATGTAGAGATGACATGAGGTTTTAAGTTTAATATTTGGTGTGTCTTGAACTGATTGCTTTTCCTTATTCTACAATAGAATTCAATGGTCCAAGTATTGGTAATTACTGGTCTCAACCCCATAGAGTCATAGACACTGGATTCTGGCACTGAACCAAGTATGGGCTGAAATACATGTACTCCAATGCCATACATGTACATACACTTCTATTCATTACATCTACATACTCTGGAATATCAAAACTGTACTCAATATTACCAAGCAAAATAATGGAAATAACATTTTGATGTTTCTCTATCCACTTTATTTTACTGACGGAGCAAACGTTTTGATGTCCTGACTTGTAATGTTGTATATACATGTATGTATTGGCAGCTCTACCCGAAGCTTTCCCAAATCGATTCGCATTACATTCTGACTGTGCCATGTCTTTGTCTAGATCTGATGATCAATGACCAGTACCTGTACATGATAGCTAAGATAGATATATTCATAGCTGGTGGTCCCCACATGCTTCGTGCCAAGCAAATGAAGCCTTTTCTAGAATTTCTTTCCTCAAATTTTCTAGACTTTCCTAGAATTTTTAATCTCTTCAAGATGCTAACAGCAACAGCCCTGTGTTCTGACACCCCCATGTTCAAAATACAGGGTTGTTGGAACAAATATTAAGTTGAGCTGTCCAAACATAGGGTTAGTGAAGAAATTTAAACATGTATTTCTTAGAGAAATAATAAATTCCACATTATTTCCTACATCTGTGGAACTTTTTTTCCTACATCTTTTCTAAATTCTCACTTTTTCCAGTTGAGCAGTTTTTTTTTTTTCATAACAAACAATCACGATCAAATTTCTTACCTGCTAACAGTAGTTGAAGCAGTTGAATACTGTCTCTGTGTGGCCGGTCGTGAGAACTGCCTCTGTGTGAAAGCGCTGATGCTCCTGAGGAGCGGCCGCCCGCTGCCCCTGGTACTGTCCATGGTTGCAGTACCACCCTCAGCCTCCAGGGGGTCTGTGGATGGCGGTCTGCTGTCGCCACCTTCTGCCATGTTTGCTGTGTTGTTGTTTAGAATCTGTTCCTATTTACACGATCTGTGGGAAGAAAAATTTATATTGTTAACATTAAATATAAACGTGTCTATAAAAAAGATATTTCTTACTAGTAGTACAGCCGCTGAAATCAATATAGATTGCATATTGGCAACTGTATAATTATTATATTAATAATGCATGTAATATCTCAGTATTTCTCTGCTACAACTTCTTTGCTTTGACCTTTACCTTGTTCAAAACGCCCACACTGCAGTATATCATGCCTAACCTGGGTACGTCTAATAGTATCGAAAATTCATGAATAAGTAAAGCAGCTCAAAAGCACATTTCAAACAGATTAACAGAACATCATACTGTAATGGGTAAACGAACATTAAGTAGTCAAATACTCGTAACACATTGTGTATCTATCTAAACACAAACCTAGAGATGTGGACATATCCTGCTCAATGTCTGAATCTGTTTTTGGATAGTTTTCAAACCTTGTGAACGTGGCTACGGACAACTCCATTTCAAATAGGGAACAGTCTGGAAAGGTTTTAGTTTCAAAATAAATGCGGCTGACCACTGGGTTCACATTTAATACCATGATAGTATGATTCAAAATTAGTGAAATTAAAAGGAGGGCCAAAATCGTTCCTGAGTGCCCCGTATAGAAATTTCAAAATGGAACAGCCTAAACCATTGACATTGATTCAATGCTAGCGTTGCCACATTATGATGGCCTAAGCATTAAGTACCAGCAACATCTGTATGCCTAACTTGAATAAATCGTTATGAGCTAAAAGGCTTGACCGCTAAGACCGATACTGTTGGGGCACCTTTCAAAACCCAAATACGTGGAGCAAAGTGTTAGACACACAATATTGTACCTGCTTGAATGTCAACGTGTAGCTGTGACATGGCAGATAGGATAGAAAGCGCTCTACCTAGTACGTAATTCTGTCCTTAGACTTTGAAACATTCTCTAACAGACTGGAATAAATGTACACTTTTGTCTCCAAAAAGCTACATTACCATGGTTAACATGCCGTACATTCGTTAAATTACAAAGAGTGCGGCCTGACAATGAGCCTGCTTAGGAGGATGTTTCTGCAACTGCAGATGAATTACCTGCATTGTACATGTATTAGAGGGAAAAGGGGCCTTACATTCATGATTAATATTTGTAGCCAAACTTCAAACATTTTTCAAGAGCTACCCCTACCCCAACACCACCTGAAAAATAGGAGCACGCATATGGAAAGAAAAATACAAATTGTTACAATTCTAATAAATTGAATGATAGCATTCAGACCGTCCTAGCGTGGCGTCCTCCCAATTGCCTGGGAGTGGGCGTTTTATAAATGGCTCACAATCTGCAGCCAAGCATTACCAGACATTGAGCCACCTGTAATCGACGCCTCTGGGTAGAAACGTCCCACCACGTCTGTGAATACAGCGCAGGCTCTACAGGTTATGTGGAGCCCAT